TCTTTTAAGAGTTTTTTAAGTTTAGAACAATTATTTATTTTCCACAATAGTCAGGTTTATTCATAAAACGGTAGTCAGTGACACAATCTCTACCATCCGGTGTCATTTTTACATGAAACGTAACAATAGATCTTGGGGTCGCTAATGGTGCGTTTGTTGGAAAAACCATGTTGACTTCCTGTTCTCACCTCTGTATTCTGTACTTTCTCCATCAGACTGCCGTGCTCTGACTCTGTCATACTGAAAGCCTGGTACACAGGGAGGAAACACCCATCAGTCATCAGTCAAACATGAACGGTGTTATGTGCTGAAGTGAGATTACCTCCCGGATATACTGGTGAAGCTGGCTGTCTGTGAAGACCTCAGCCAATGTAGGTTTACCCATCTTATGTGCAATGGTGTAGAGCAGCTCCTTATACAGAGGCTTCAGCTATAAACAGAAGCAAAAGAACATGAACATTTAATTAGAAAAATGCCGTTGCATATCAAGTATAACGAAACGATGACACTACCTCTGTCTCCTTGTGTCGTCTTGCTTTAACATCTGGATTTTCATCCTCTTTAAAGTCCTAGCAAATGAGCAGAACAGTTTCTTCATGGTTTTGTTTGTCTTTGCACTAAAATGTGACACATAATCCAGAATTACATACCCTCCTGTCCCTGGGTTTCCTTGTTAATCCAAATTTGCGTGCATGAACCGGGGAAAGCTGGTGAGGGACAGAAAGAAAACAGCAAGAAATTATTTTGTGTACAATTGGGATTCTTGTAGCGCCACAAATGCAGTGAGTTTCAGGGGTCCGGGTGTTTAAATAAATGTTTACCAGTGCAATTCGACAGTTAAGTAAACTTTACACTGGTGTGGAATGACAGGGTACTAACCAGGAAAGAAGGACCTGCTCTAAAAACAACACATTTAAGCTTGATGAACAGGCTTTCTGGAGAAAGTTTTTATGGTCAGAAATGAAGATTTAGCTGTTTGGCTACAACAACAAAAGGTATACTTGGAGGAGTTGAGGCGAGACTTTCAAACCTAAGAACACTGAAGCAAATGTAAAACATGGCAGTAGCAGTATCATGCAGTGGTTCTAGTGGATGAAGGGGGTGAAATAATGAAGGAGAAGGACTACCTGTCAGCTCTTCAGCTTCATCTCAACACATCTGGGTGTTCCAACAGAACATTGATCCCAAATACATCAGAACTGGTTTCTTATGGGATGAATTAGACCAATCTTAAGTTTCTGGAGCGTCATTCCCAAAGCCGCAACCTTAATAAATGAACTCTACCAATAAGGGAAGTCAAATAGCCGTCGGAAAAGGGTGGATTGCTCTCCTTGGTTTGAGGGTGAGGTTCTGCCTCAAGTGGAGGAGTTCAAGTATCTCAAGGGTTTTGTTCACGAGTGAGGGAAGAATACAGCGTGAGACTGACAGACAGATTACCATACCATAGCAATTTATTTATAGAGCACTTAAATGGTAAATGGTAAATGGACTGTACTTATATAGTGCCTTTCTATCTTATTTCAAGATACTCAAAGCGCTTTACACTACAATCTGTGTCCTCATTTACCCATTCATACAGCACTCTACTAGATCTCTACAAAGATAATGGAACAAATCATTCTAAAGAGACTAATCAGTGCTTTCGATACCATACCATACCAATTTATTTATAGAGCACTTAAAACAGCAACAAGACCAACCAAAGTGCTGTACAAAAGAAAACAAACATGCACAGCGGACAGGAAAACATAAAATAGAAATACAGATACAAATAGCAGCAGAAGCTAACTAAAATGGCCAACAGAGTAGAGAACAAACCGGACCAAAACAAATCACACCGTGTTAAAGGCAAGCGAATAGAAGTGGGTCTTCAAGCGAGACTTAAAGACTGAGAGTGTGGGAGCCTGCCGGACACTCAGTGGCAACTCATTCCACAGTCGTGGACCTGCAACAGAGAAAGTCCTGTCACCCCTGAGCTTACGACGGGTTTCTGGGACTGAGAGAAGCATCTGGTCTGCTGACCTCAGAGAGCGCGGTGGGACATATGGCTGCAGAAGATCAGTGAGATAGGATGGGGTGGAACTGTTCAGTGATTTAAAAACATACATGAGAATTTTGAATTGGATCCGAAGGTGAATGGGTAGCCAGTGCAGGGAGGCCAAAACTGGCGTGATGTGCTCTCTATAGGCTGTACCAGTTAAAAATCGGGCTGCAGCATTTTGGACCAGTTGTAGATGAGCAATGGAGGACTGACTGATTCCAAACAGAAGTGAATTGCAGTAATCAAGCCTAGATGTTATGAAGGCGTGGATCACTGTCTCGAGGTTCTTTTTGTTGAGTATAGGCTTCAGCTTAGACAGCCGTCTCAGCTGAAAAAAACAGGATTTTACCATCATGTTTACGTGACTGTTGAGTTTTAAGGACGGGTCCATTATCACCTCCAGATTAGTGACCTTTTGTTTCTCTAGCGGGGCTAGAGAGAAAAGGTCAATGTCATGGTTCATGAGTGAGCCACTGGGATGGAACAGCATGACTTCAGACTTCTTCTCATTGAAGCTTAAAACGTTTAAAGCCATCCAGTCCCGGATGTCAGCCAGGCAGTCAAGAAGAGGCTGAATAGAGCGTGTGCCTCTGTGCCTCAGGGATGGGACACACATCAGAGGCTATGAGGGGTTCAGTGTCTTGCCCAGGGACACTTCAGCATGTGACTGCTGTGGGGTTCGAACCTCCAACTCTTGTTTTGGAGGACGACTGCTCTAACCACTCAGCCACAGCCGCCCCTTAAAACAGCAACAAGGCCAACCAAAGTGCTGTACAATAGAAACAAACAAGCACAGCGGACATGAAAACATAAAATAAAATATAGATACAAATAGCAGTGGATAATAACTAAATGGCCAACACTGTAGACTACAGACAGGATCAAAACAAATCACTTTGTGTCAAAGACAAGGGAATAAAAGTGGGTTTTCAGGTGAGACTTAAAGACTGTGAGTGTGGGAGCCTGCCTGACACGCAGTGGTAACTCATTCCACAGATTAGTGCAGCCCCTGCAGTACTGTACTGGTCTGTTGTGGTGAAGAGGGAGCTGAGCTGTAAGACAAAGCTCTCTATGCTGATCAGTCTACGTTCCTACCTTCACATATGGTCATGAACTCTGGGTAGTGACTGAAAGAATGAGATCATGGATACAGGCAGTTGAAATGAGTTTCCTCTGCAGGGTAGCTAGACTCTCCCTTATAGATAAGGAGAGAAGTTCAATTATCTGGAAGAGATGGAACCGCTGCTCCTCCACATCAAAAGGAACCAGTTGAGGTGGTTTTGGCATCTGGTAAGGATGCTTCCTGGGCGCCTCCCTAGGGAGGTGCTTTGGGCATGTCCGACTGGGAGGAGACCTCAGGGAAGCCTCAGGACATGCTGGAGAGACTATGTCTCTCGGTTGGCCTGGGAACACCTTGGAGTCCTCACAAAAGAGCTGGAAGAGGTGGCTGTGGAAAGAGATGTCTGGACCTCCCTGCTCAAGATGCTGCCCACAAGACCTGACTTCAGAACAAGAGGAAGATGATGGAAGGGGGGATGGATGGATGGAAATAACAAGTTACATATAGAATACATAGAAGTTTGCTAATGGAAACAAAGGAGGTGGTCGAGGGGTAACTCGCTAAGCGACATTTAACCAAACATCACTGGAAGCGTTTGAGCCTTTATGTAGAATTTTGACTCTGTGTGGATCAGAGAAAATCCACAACAGATTCAAACTTGTGCATCCAGTTCTTGTTTTTACAATATATTTTTTTGGAACAGCCAAAAGCAGCTGGTCAGAAGATCTCAGTGCCCAAAAAGGAACATAAAGTAGAAGCAGCTCAGAGAGGTATGAGGGTTCAAGGCCATTTAGGCACTTAAAGGTCAACAGGAGAATTTTAAAATCATTCAGATACATACAGTGAGCCAGTGAAGGGAAGACAAAACTGGTGAAATATGCTCAAACCTACGAGTTCCTGTTAAGAGCTGAGCTGCAGTATTCTGGACGAGCTGAAGACAAAAAAGGGAGACCTGATCGACCCCAATGTAGAGTGCGTTACAGTAGTCTAGCTGGGTTGTAATGAAGGCATGAACTATTTTTTTCAAAGTCAAATCGGGTCAACACTGACTTAAGCTTAGGTGTCTGTCTTAACTGGAAGAAGCATATTTGTAGAACAGGGTTAATCTGTTGATTAAACTTAAAACCAGAGTCTAAAACCATCCTGAGATTTGTAACAGCCTACTTAAGATATGGGTCAAGACAATCAAGTTTTACAGGAACAGAGACAGCAGTAGAACTAGGGCTAAACACAATACCTTCAGTTTTCTGATCATTAAAACTTAAAAAATGTGAAGCCATCCATGCCTTAATGTCATTAAGACATTTTAACAGAGGATGAATGGAGCAAGAACTATTGGGTTTTAAGGGCAGATAAATCTGACTAACATCAGCATAGCAAAAAAACAAAAGATCATGTTTCCTCAGGATAGACACTAAGGGGAGCAGATACAGTGAAAACAGAAGGGGTGCAAGAATTGAGCCCTGCGGAACCCCGCAGGAAAATGGCACTGAAGCAGATAAAGTATTACCAACATTAACACAAAAGTTCCTGTCACTCAGATAAGAACAGAACCATTCTAACGCTGCACATGTAATCCCAAACCAGTGTTTTAACCATAATATAAGGATACTGTGGTCAACATTATCAAAAGGAGTGAAGGAGTGAGTGGTGAGGTCCAGGAATACAAGTATCACAAACTGACCAGAATCATTGTTGTTACAGACCCTTACCAAGGCTGTTTCAGTGCTGTGTAATTGTTTAAAACCAGACTGAGAGATCTAAAAAATTCTATTCCTATTCAAAAACCAATTTAATTGAATAAAAACTATTTTCTCCATGATTTTAGAAAGAAAGGGAAGTTTTGAAATTGAAGGATTTATGATGAAAATGTTCATGATCCATGACATATTTGGCAGAGTATTTCTGTGAAGTTTGGATTTTGTTCAAATTAATTGGTGAATAAAATGAATCTTATGCAGAAAATAAAGTGAATTAAAATGCAGAAACAATCAGCAGCAGCTGGTTACTGACCTGCCGCTGTCTTGGAAATCCTTGTTCCTGGAAAAAGAGACAGATTTGGCACTTATTTCAATACGAGTAAATTGTTTTATAATCAAATGGAAACAAGCAAGAAATTTAAAATATGGCCACATCGTTCTGTGATCCTCTGACAAAAATGTGTTTTCTCTATTTTTGTTGTGGCCTGCCTGTGAGGAACTTCCTCTATAATGAACATATCTCAGAAACAACATTGAGGAAACGCGCTTCTAATATTTGTACCAGAAACTTCTCCTGGAAGATTTACTCAGTCTGTGGAAACATACGTGCACACCAGCTCATCCCATGTATAAACCAACAACTCCAGCCTTTTCAGTGTGGACGTAGAAAACTCCCCAAAGTTTTAAAAATTTTAATCCTGCTACTCTCCGAACGTGTAAAAAAAAGTTTTGGAGAAAACACTGGCTGGAAACGTCTGATTCATCTGATCTAAACATACATGTTTGCATGAATCATGACCATCAGATCTTGGAGGCAGTGACTCAACCTTTGGATAAGACTTCTTTTTTTTTTAAGTGTCAGTTCAAACAAAAGCTGAAAACTTGAAAATCTCTGAAGAAAAGCTGAGGCCAAACTACAAATATCTCCTTCAACGATCTACAGTCGGGATGATGCTGCATCTTGATGCACACATGATGTGAGCAGAACACAGAACCACACATGTGAAGTGTGTTATAAATGTTTTTTAAAGTGTGTCCTGAGTTTTACCTGTTCAGGTGTTTGAAGCAGGTTCTCCTCCTTGCTGCTGGGCTCGCTCTGACCCGACATGATGCTGATTTCTGATCAGCAGGCTCCTTCTTGGGGAGCTGAAGGTCTGTGTGTGTGAGATATGAGGAAGCTGTGTGTGAGTGCGATGTATTTTGATGTAGTATCACGCAGCCTCCGGAAGTCATCACTTCCTGTTGCAGGTGGTAACGTCAGTAACTGTGACTTGTGACTTTTTACTCAATATGAGCTGGAAAACTAAATAACAAACATGTCTGCTCACCATTTGTTTGCAGGCGCAAACCTCGTCAGCTTTGGGTGCTGTGCCGGTCTGTTAGCAAAATATCTCATGAACCACTGGGCAGTAAAGCAGATACACGACTACATCTGCTTAATGTTTGAAGTCAACTTGATTCAAGATGGCCACCACAGCTGATTGCCCTTAGAAAACATATACATGGTTATAACTTGTTGTAATCAATATAACAAGTAATAATAACAAATAACAACAATAATAACATTAAAACATGTCATTTTTGATCATTTTCATCAATAAATAAATGACCAAGTATATTTGGTCTCAATTGTTCCCTTTATCTACTTTTAGGACTTGTGTGACAATATGATGATGTTTTAGATCATATTTATGCAGAAATGTAGAAAATTATAGAGTTCACAAACTTTCAAGCACCACATCTATTGTGAGTTGGATAATTTGACAATAAAGCAAAATAGCAACTTCCATTTTGGTGTGTAGATGTATCTGGGCAGTAAGAAAGGTCATTTTTGAAAATTGTATTGCAACGTCAAAGTCCAAGATGGCTGCCACCGTCCAGATTGTGAGCATGATATCTTGAAAGATAAGTGTAAGACCAATTTTCTCTTTGGTGTGTAACTGTATCCAAGCATTATGAGAAAGGTCCTTATCAAAAATTGGGTTGCCACAAAATTTAGTCCAGAAAAACACTATCTCGAAAACTACAAATATTCAATTCACTTCAGTTTATTTATATAGCTCCAAATCACAACAGGAGTTGTCTCAGGGCACTGAACATGTACAGAAACATCCATATATATAAAGCCAATTAGTAAAAGTTCTCTATCTAATGAAGCAGCAGATTGTGTTGAATCTTCACTTCGTCACATCCTGAGCAAGCACAAAGGAGACAGTGGAAAGGAAAAACTCAATTATAACAGGAAGAAACCTCCAGCAGAACCAGGCTCAGGATGAGCAGCCATCTGCTTCGACCAGCTGGGTTTGAGAGGACAGGAAGTAGAAACAGACAAACACAGAATGACAGGTACAGATGTAATTTCTATAGGAGGAAAAACAAAAACACGTCAAGACAGAAATAATTACAAATACAAACAGGTAGAGCAAGTAAAGAGAGCAGCAAAGTGAAGAAATGTGGTCAGTTTGTCCTCCAGCAGTCTAAGCCTATTGCAGCATAACTAAGGTATAGGTCAGGAAACCCAAGCTAACCCTAACTATAGGATTTATCAAAATGCAAATACTTTTTTTCTTTCATTTACCCTTTATTTATCCAGGTAGTCTCATTGAGTCACGAGAACTCATTTTCAAGAGAGATCTGTTTTTGGGAGCAGGTGGTGGGGGTTAAGGGCCTTGCTCAGGGGCCCAGAGTGGGCAAATGAGGGTGGAGGGAGGTGTGGGTGTGTCACATTTTCCACCCACATTTTTATGTTGACGGTGCCGGGAGTTGAACTTGCAACTTTCCAATCACAGGCCCATCTTCTCTAACCTCTGCGCCACCACTCCCCCACTCTACTTAAGCCCAGTCTTAAAACTGGACAATGTGTCAGCCTCATGGACAGAAACTGGAAGTTGGTTCCACAAGAGAGGAGCCTGATAACTGAAAGATCTTCCTCCCATTCTGGTTTTGGAAACTCTAGGAACCACAAGTAAACCTGAAGTCTGAGAGCGAAGTGCTCTGTTAGGAAAATATGGAACAATAAGATCTGTAATATAAGATGGAGCTAGGTTGTTGAGAGCTTTGTAGGTTAGAAGTAAGATTTTGAATTCTATTCTGGATTTGACAGGGAGCCAATGGAGAGAAGCTAAAACTGGAGAAATATGATCTCTCCCACTAACTCCAGTTAAGACTCTGGCAGCAGCATTTGGATCAGCTGAAGACATTTTAAAGAAGTGTTTGGACATCCAGATAATAAACCATTGCAATAGTCCAGTCTAGACATGACAAATGCATGGACCAGTTTTTCTGCATCATTTTTAGATGTTTCTAATTTTAGTGATATTACGCAGGTGGAAGAAGGAGGTTCTAGTAACGTTTTTAATGTGGGGGATAAAAGACATGTCCTGATCAAAAATAACACCAAGATTTTTAACATGAGAGCTGGAGGACAGATTAATGCCATCCAGAGGAAATGAAAGACTGCAAATTTTATTCCCAAGATGCTCAGGTAAAAAAAAACATGTTTTTTCTGAATTTAAAAGCAGAAAATGTAGGGTCATCCAGGTTTTTATGTCTTTAAGACATGCTTGTAGTAAGTAACTGATTGGATTCATTGGGTTTCATGGACAAATATAACTGTGTATCATCAGCAGAACAATAAAAATTGTCCCATGCTGTTTAATAACATTACCTAATGGAAGCACAAGGTAAAAAGTATTGGTCAAAGCACTGAACCCTGAGGAATTCCATGACTAACTTTGGTGTATGATGAAGATTCATTGTGTACATTTACAAAATGAAATATATCAGATAAATATGATTTACTGTAAACCAATTTAGAGATGTTCCTGTAATCCCAAAATCATATTCAAGTCTCTGTAGTAAAATATTGTGATTCACTTCTCAAATTCCTCAGGAGGACATCAGCGTACAGCTTGTTACCATTAAAAATTCTAGAAATTCTTTTTGTGATCAAATATGTGTGGGTCAGGATGTCTAAATAGACAAAGTGCTGCATTGTTGTTTACTAGACAAACTATAAAATTACATCAAACTGAAACTTTCACAAGCACTTCTGCAACCTTACCACTCTGCTTGCTGAACACTTCTTAGGAAGCATTGCTAGAGAAGTGAAAACTCTCATTTGAAAAAATAAAGTTAAAAGAAATAACTGGCCCAAATCAACATTTTGGTTTGCTTGTGTCTTGCTGTTGACTCTAAGACATTTGAAATATCGTCTTTCTCTCATTTCGTCAAGATAATTTTAATAGTTACAGGAAAAATTAGCATTCAGTAAGAGGCCGCTGCACTCCAGCTGCAAATTTAAGCAGAGATGCACAGTTGTAGACTCAGGTGGAGGCCTCAACAATCGCCTGGATCAAAGACTACCTGACGGACAGACCACAGTTTGTGAGACTGAAGGGTTGTGTGTCTAACCAGGTGGTCAGTAGCTCAGGAGCACCACAGGGGACTGTACTCTCACCATTCCTTTTCACTCTGTACACCTCAGATTTCCAGTACAAAACAGACTCCTGTCATCTGCAGAAATATTCTGATGACTCTGCAGTGGTCGGGTGTATCAGAGATGGACAAGAAGCTGAGTACAGGGAACTGGTGGACCGCTTTGTGGCATGGTGTGGAAACAATCATCTCATCTTGAATGTGAACAAAACAAAGGAGATGACTGTAGATTTCAGGAGAAACAGGAACAGGTCCAACCCTATTTTCATCATGGGAGAAGAAGTGGAGGTGGTGGAGAAGTATAAATACCTTGGGGTTCACCTGGACAACAGACTGGACTGGAGATGCAACAGTGAGGCCGTCTACAAGAAGGGACAGAGCAGACTGTACATCTTGAGGAAGCTGAAGTCCTTCAGTGTTTGCAGCAAGATGCTGCATATCTTCTATAAGTCTGTTGTAGAGAGCGCTGTCTCTTCTGCCATCATCTGCTGGGGGAGCAGCACCAGAGCAAGTGACTTAAAAAAGATCAACAAGCTCATAAAGAAGGCTGGCTCAGTTCTGGGGACTCCTCTAGAACCTTTGGAGATGATTGTACAAAGGATTCTTCATAAAATGAAGAACATTATAGACAACCCTCAGCATCCTCTTCATCAGACTGTCATACAACAACAGAGTGTCTTCAGTCAGAGGCTTCTTCAGATCTGTTGTAGGACAGACCGCTACAAGAGATCCTTCCTGCCCACAGCCATCAGCATCTATAACAACTCTTTAATGAAACCAGGATGATGAGTTACAACAACATTTAATTTCCCTCTGGGATTAATAAAGTATTTTTGAATTGAATTGAATTGAATTTGTAACTAATGTGTATGTGACATAAATTCAAATAAATAAACAGATAAACATCCATCCATCCATCCATCCATCCATTATCTTTACCCGCTCAGTCCATTTTTGGGTCACGGGGGTCGCTGGTGCCCATGTCCAGCAATCACTGTGCAAGGGGCGGGGTACACCCTGGACGGGTCGCAAGTCCATCACAGGGACACATAGAGACAAACGAGACAAACAAACATTCACTCTCTCACTCACACCTAGAGACAATTTAGAGTTACCAATCAGCCTAACATGCATGTTTTTGGTCTGTGGGAGGAAACCAGAGCACCCGGAGAAAACCCACGCATGCACGGAGAGAACATGCAAACTCCACCCAGAAAGGCCCCTGGACCGGGGTTTGAACCAGGGACCTGCTCGCTGAGAGGCAGCAGCTCTACCAGTTGCGCCACCGTGCTGCCCCAGATAAACATTATACTTTAAAAATAATAATCATTCATGATAACACAGTATTTATGACACAATTGTAAAAATATTTTAAATGTGAAGAATTTAAATTTTCTGGTTAAAGAAACATTTAACTAACTAACTATGGTAACTAACTAACCATCTAACCAACTTTCAGTGCAAAACATACCAGCAGCACTGTAGGCTACTGTATACTAAATAAAATAAATTGTATGCTTTATTTATTTATTTTACACTACGCTGTAGTTACATGATCAGATAATGAAACAGAGTAACAGCTTGCTTACTTTTACATTAATAAATATGTTGATTAGTTTTAATATTTCCATTACTAGAAGACCACCTTCTGCCACTCTGATCACAAGGCCTGAGTCAGAATTATGTGAGATCATCCCATAACTATGACCCAGAAACTCACAATTATTGCTTAGGAATGACGTATCATCTCATGATTATGATATTATCTCCAAGTTATGACCTAACACCTCAAAGTTATGAGCCCCTATCTCAAAATTATTACTTGGTATCTCATAAATCTCTTTGTTTTTCAATGGCTTCTTAAAACTCATCTCTTCTGCTTATTGGACTTTGACACCATGTGAAGTGTTGACTTTTTATTGATTTTATTTTTTTAAGTAAGTTTATGTTAAGAAAATGTACATACTTTATGTGTTTATGTATTATTATTATTATTATTATTATTATTATTATTATTGTTCCAACAATTTTCAGTCAGGCCATCTGGACAGTTTCTTTTTTTGCTGAAATGTTTCACCTTCCATCCAGAAGGCTTCATCAGTCAAGGAAACACTCAACACAAAACTGATTCTTCCCCAAACAGCTTACTTCAAAGTGGAACAAAGCAGTTATGTTGGTGCTAAGACGGTGTCTTTGGCACACCCCCTCCTCTGGAGCTGGCCCTCTTCCTCGTCAACAGTCATGTCAAACTGGTTCAAAACCAAAAATGACACAATCTTAGCATCAACATAACTGGTTTGTTCCACTTTGGAGTAAAATATTTGAGGGAAGAATCAGTTTTGTGTTGTGTGTTTCCTTGACTGATGAAGCCTTCTGGATGGAAGGTGAAATGTTTCAGCAAAAAAAGAAACTGTCCAGATGACCTGACTGAAAATTGTTGGATTGTATACCTGGATTATTGAGCATGGACTTTTTTGGTATTATTACTATTATTATTGTTAATATTATTATTATTATATTATTGCTATTATGTCTTCACATAAAAATGTCCAAAGGAGGGACAGTGGTTTGGACATGTGCAGAGGAGGGAAAGTGGTTTGGACATGTCCAGAAGAGGGACAGTAGTTTGGACATGTCCAGAGAAGGGACAGTGGTTTGGACATGTCCAGAGGAGGGACAGTGGTTTGGACGTATCCAGAGAAGGGACAGTGGTTTGGACATGTCCAGAGGAGGGGCAGTGGTTTGGACGTGTCCAGAGAAGGGACAGTGGTTTGGAC